TCAATGGTTGTCTGAAACTTTATTCTTGATCATCAAAAGATTTCTTTAGCTCTTTCTTGTTCACCTGCAACTCGAAGGAAATACTCAAAAAGTGAGAATGATTCTTTGTTCATTACACCAAAACAAACATTTCAAAATACCATTCAGTTCAAGGCTTTTTAGTTACCTTTCCCATGGCGTTGCGGGGCAAGCTCTCCCATATCAGTAAACGTGTTGGTAGCTGGAAAAAATACATAAAATTGTGGGTAAGAACTACAGATGTTTTGGATAACTTCTTGGTAGATTTTTAAGTACCTTGTAAGGAGCAAGCTTGTCTTTAGCCCAACCGTTGAGTTCTTCTAAGGTCATTACAGGTTTTGACTCATCTTCTCTTCTCTTCTTTGCTTCAATCTCTGGTACAATTATCGCAGTAACGGCTTCCCCATAATCTTTGTCTGGTAACCCCAGCACGCAACATTCTGCAACCGTGGGATGCTGCATAAAACCCCAGAGATTTTAGTTAACGATTAAACCCTCTCGGTTTCGTTATCTAAAGTGTTATCCAACTACCTTCAGTTACCCCAAGAAATCAACGGGATATTAATTTTACCTCGAGAAGTGTTGATTCGATTTGTAAGGCAGATAATTTGTATCCTCCAACCTTCATTATGTCAGCGCTATTGCCTGATCGAAACCAGAGAAGAGAAGATGTCAAGAGAAGAAAACCCAATGCACTAATAAATAGTGTTTAAATGTGCTTATGGGTTCTGCTTACGTCCTAGAATCACGTAATATCCTTCCTCATCCACTTTACCAGCATCTCCAGTCTTGAAGTATCCGTCTTCCGTAAATGACTCTTTAGTCACTTCTGGAAGATTCCAGTACTCCGTGAACAAAGATGGGCTCTTAACACAAATCTCACCCGGTCCATCCAAATCACTTTCATCTTTTACAATCTTAGCCTATAATGTTTACAGACATTTTTGTTTTCAGTATCACAGCTTCTTGTCTGAGTATACCTTAGCTGCGCCGCATTAGCTTAAAGGTATTGAATTTCGACCTAAGAGTAGGAAGATCTTACTGACCTCCACACCGGGAAGCGGTTTTCCAACAGTACCTGCCTTCCGTTCACCCCGTAGGGGATTTGATATTGCCATTATAAACTGGGAATATTGAAATAAATTTTAAATTAATCAATTTTAACTACTAAGAACAGGTTTTTTAGAGGCATTGTATATTCCAGGGAGCAATGGCTTAAAGGTAACTAAAAGAGACAGGAAAATCCACTTACCTCAGTCATGCCATATCGTTCCAAAAGACGATGACCTGTGATAGTTTCCCACTGAAGCATGACCGGTCGAGGAAGAGCAGAGGAGCCAGACATCTAAAAATGTATTTCATCAGCAAACATGTATGCACTCTTTTCACCAGAATTTTGAAAATAGAATAACCGTCTACGGATATAAATGATAAACACTAAGCTGGGTCTACGCTCCTGAGAGATATTTGGTTGTTTACCATTAGGCGAAGCTTCTGTGCAGCAAAAGCGCTCGAGTCTTGCATCTCTCGATCCATTGCTTCATAGCCTTGTATCAGTCGACTATACATGGTTGGGACCTATTTATCACAACATTCACTTTTAACCAATTGAAAATGCTAAA